GTCCACATCCGAAAGAAAATTAAAAAGCAAAAAAAAAAGCCAAAGTCGTTCAAAAAACTTAAAAACATCATCTAAACAGAATCCTTCCCAACATCAACATCCTTCTCGATCACGACCTGGGCATTTCCTTGGGTCTGCTCGACCTCAGCCTGAAGATCTCCCATGTCCTTATCAATATCAGCTTCAGAAATGTGCACATCCTTCGGGATCTCCTCTTCGTTTTCCGGGACCTCGGAACCATTTTTGACCACCTTACTCAATCTGGAAAAAATTGCGGCATCCATGGCCTGGGGGTCTGGGATAATCCTAACTTTGGCGGCATTGACGTCACCAACTCCCTTCACCAGCTCGGTCCCCTCGAGGGGGTTTTCCGTGTTCTCTTCAGCTGCGGTAGCAATAAACTTCTCCACGTATTCCACTACTTCTTTCTTAATCTGAGCCGGAGTCAGTAGATCGAGATGTTGTTCGACGGTAAAGTCAACAAGGGTGGAGATAAATACATTAGCAAATTCTTCCCTTTTTTCTTTCTCTCCTTCGAGGACCATGTTGACATACGCTTTTCGAAGCACAGTTCGTCTATCAGAATTCAAAGGAGAAAACCCACGAGCTACAACGTCGGCTTCAGTGTTCTCCAATACCATTTCACAGTAGGAACATTCATCTTCATCAGCAGGGACGTGAATTTCTTCAATCTCGGGATCAAACCCGAACCTTTTCATTTTCATGAGCATGATAGCTTTTAGATCTCCGACGCCATAAAGTCCTGAATCAAACCGATCAATTACCCAGCGGAGATTTAAACAGGAATTGAGCTCGATGTCCCTCTCCATCTCGTCAGAACCCTTGAACTCCTGCTTCCCGAGTTCCTTGCCTTCCTCAAATCCCTGCGCATACTTGAATTCTCCAAAAGCATCCTTTTCTTTCTCCAACTTCACCATCTCGGCTGCATGTGCTTCTGTCAGACGTATCAGTTGTGCTTCCTTCTCGGCTCGATCTTGACGGGTTTTCTGGTGCTCTTCCCGAGTTCGTTGATGGTCTTCTTGCTCCTTCAGGTAGCTGTTCAAATTATTCCTGACCTCCATCTCGGACGCACCAATCTGCGCCGTAAGCTTGCGCACCTCATCTTCCAGACGCTTCTTCTCGGCAGTCAAATCTTCAATTTCAGTTTTTGCTGTAGCAAGTTGAACAGTTTTTTCTTCAACCTCAGCCATCAGAGTAGCCTTGTCCGCCTCCAAGGACATTATTTGACCGTCGCGTAATTCTATCTTGTTCTTACGCTCATCTAACGCTGCCGCATTCATTCAAAATTCGTCCTCCATTGCACAGAGGCCGACCAGAGCTCTCCCCAAGGTGGCCTTGGCGTAGCTGAATCTGTAAGCACTAGACAGACCAGAAACTCGCGCTTCTGTTGAAGGGTCCCATGACATCAATGGAACCCAAGCTGCCTCCATCACATGCGGAGGCTGATGGAACTTGTTCTTGAATTTTGGAATTATCAGGGAATGAAACTGGGTAAACCATCTCTCCATCATGTCCTCAGGAAGATTGAGGTTGAGAACTCTTTCTTCATCAATGGGCAGATACGTGTCGCCCCCATCTTGGTGAACAGGAGCATTCTTCTCAAGGGATAACTGACCGACGTCCTGTCTTGCCTTGGACCGTCGCTCCTTCGCCATCTCGAGATCATCACCAACCTTTCTCTTCGACTTCTTCTTTTTCTTTTGAGTTGAAGAGCCTTCGGTAGTTTTCTTAGTAATCTCGGTTTCTTTTGAACTAGATATAATCACATGCTGATCTGGGAGAGCCACTGCTGCATCTCTCTCAGTCTCTGGGATAACATCTTTTTCAACTTCAGGGGCCGCGACAAGAGTTGCAATCGGCATCTCGATGTTCGTCGAGGGAATAGGTTCCAGAGCAGACTCAATGATTGGAGCCGGTACTACAACCGTCTCTGGTGGGACCGACGTGACCCCCATGTCAGTACTGCTAGAAGCACGAGTTGCCGCCTTCTTCTTCAATCCTTCTAAAAAGTTCATACGACCCATTTCAGTATCCTTGACAGAGAACTGACATCGATAATCCTTTGCTTCTCGAACGGATTTGAAACCGAAGAAACCAAGTAATGGGTAATAAACTGGACAAAATATACAACAAAAGAGTTCCTTCAATTTATACGAAAGAAAAAGGAAAGCAAACGAGAAATGACCTAAGAAATGGAAAGTTTACCAGGATCGAAGTCGTGAGTAGCCTTCCTCGCTCCTAGTTTGGCGTCAGCAAGCTTTGAATTCTTCGTCAACAAAGACCACTTGCGCTCCGAGACACTTAGTTTCGCCAAATCCTCAAGCTTATCCCTGAATTCCCCGCTGAGTCTAGGTTCTGACTTCCTTTTGGCTACAAATACGAAAAGGCCCGACCTGTTAGTGAAAGAAAAACATGTCGTCAGGAGATTTCGGAAAGAAGAGAAAGACTTACGAATAGAAGAAACAACTCGGGTTGGGATTGTCATCCCATCAATGGGTGTCTCAAGTCGGAAGTCGGGGGATTGCCAGTCCCCGCCAACCCACAGCCATTCATCCTGGAATCCATGAAGAGTCTTTGGGATTCCTGTGATCAGCTGCCCCATCTTCAAGTCATATTGTGGCCTCGCCGCATAGAAAAAACAACCTGTTGGGGGGACTCCTTCACGTTCCCTACTCCTCTTAAAAAGAAAAATGCTTCTTAACTCGTCGACCGAAGGGAAAGGCAATTTCTTTTGCGCCAGGAGAACCATGATTCCTATAATTTTCTTCCAGCTGTTAGGAGTTATCTGGCTAAGGCTGAGACCCCAATCACGCAGGTAGTCGGTTATTACATTGTCTAGAGGAAATCTCAAACCCGACCTTAAACTCTCAGCAAAAATCCCAATACAACCGGGGGGAGGACAATGAATTCTTTCTTCCGGATAAGGAGCAAATATTCTAACCGACGAGGGGATCCGTACCGACTCGCGAAGTAGGACTACATTAGCATCGGTTATGATGCTGGGCTCTCTTAGAAACAGAACATCGTTGTCAGGCCATCGCCGAGTAGGACGATTCCAATATCCCGACCTCATAGGGATATCTCGCTCTACCTCGGCGTCTCCTTCAACGTTATCCTTACGGATGTCTAGACGTTCTACGTAAACAGGGTCCCACCGGTAATAATCCCCCATTAACTCCATCAAATCCTCATCCAACCTCATATCCGACACAGTTCGACTACTGCTTGGTTCCACTTGCTCACCGCTAACCGTCATAATCACAACTAGAAAAAACAACGCAAAGGAATTAAGAAATAGAAAGAGGAAATTAGGGCTTACCGAAAATTGAAGTAAACTCTCAAGGAATTCTGGATTTGTCGAGATATGAAGGAAGAATAGAAGGAAAGAGGAAAGAGACAATAAGATAATCGAAAAGATGGAAAAGTTGCTTGAATGAAGATTTCATGATGAGAGACTGTGAACCTATCTGTATATATACACGATATTTTCTAACCGTTGAAGATGGAGAGGCGCGTGAGAAACCGTCACGTCGTTTGAAGGAAATTCTCTTAATTATGACATAAAGTTTAAGGTATAATCTCGTACGTACGCGTCTCCCGAAACTGTTAAAATTAATATCCGAAATTTATGGTACGTGCCCGTTGGGAAGAGTAGTGGAGAAGACACGTTCGTAACCTCTCGAAAACTGCTCTATAATCTTCTTCTGGTCTTAAATAGCCCTGCCGAATGAGTGAAAAAATGTGATTCTTGTCTAAGGAAAGTACCTCGGTTTAACTTGTGGAAGATCTATATGCAAATTCGGAAATAGAAGACGATTGAAGAAAAGATGTCATTAAAAAGCACGCTTATTTGCGTACTTCTTAATGCCAGGGGCCTCTATGTTGATATCAAGATTAAATATCTTGAGATAAAGGATAGATTAAAGATTTTATAAAGTCCAAACCACGAACCGGGTCTTTGACAATAAAAAACGAAATAGCTGGCACCTCGGAAATATCACCTCGGTTCTCATATGACGTTCGAAGACAAAAAATCCCAAAGGTCGTCAGGATAAAACGTTAAAACCTCAAGATTGCCACCTCGGTTAGAGAGTAGCTTGTCGGATGTCATGGAGGGCTAAAATTCTATTGAAAAGTCGACGTCGCGAATAACACCGACTTCAACCCGACAGAAGTGACGCTTGTCACACAGATAGAGGAGCGCCCATGCTCATCATTACCTAAAAAGTTTGCCTACGTCATTGCCGCCCCTAAGCCGTCAAATCTTCATTAAATGAAGCTAATTTATCTTGGGATGTGTGCCAAGCATAACTATAAATAGCAACATTAAAGACGATACGAGGATTCGGCAAAAAGATAGCAAAACGCATATATTTATCTCGGTTTTCTCTGTTACCGACTTGGTGTACACGAAAAAACCGACTTCCCAATTCTGTAACCGACTTCAATAGTTTTAATAAAAATCATATTTTCTGCAATCTTTACTATACTTTTTAACCTTAATTACGTTGGTTAAATCCGTTTATCAACATTGTATGCTTTACTTTTAAATTTTAATAAATTGAAGCGTGCTTTGTTAATACCTCAATTTCAATAAAAAAAAACACTTCTAAAGCTGGTTGTGTTAGATTTATTTTGTTAAAAATAAGTCGCTTTCAAATCACACTTGAGAAGGTCTCTATGATTTCAACATTGTAGATGGCGGCATCCAGTGATCTGGGCACTTCAAAAGGGAATCAAGCCGACGTGAAATAGATTCTCGAAAATGAGGCTCACTTTATATCCCTCATGTTGGACGATGTTGTCCTGGGTAACTGCGTTGATGGTAAGTTCAACTCAAGATAGTGGTCGGAAATGTTAGGGAAACTAAATGAGAAGTGCTCTACACATCCAAATTATGACATCCAACAAATAATGAGTAAACACGGTTGGTTAAAAGTCCAAGGGCGTCGGTTCCACACAATGATTTCCAAAGAAACATGGTTTGTTGGGATGCGACATGGGGTATAATCACGGGCAGCGAAGATGTGTGGAGCAAAGATTTAAGATTGTTAAAACCTCTTATTGCAGTAAGCGTAGAATTGGATAATTGTTTATTACGAAATTTTGTGATATGATTTTATTTGCCCCAAAAAATTGTTGTTCTGAGACCGAATGTAAGAAATTGTGCAGTTGTTTATGTTGATATTACACTATGTTGCGAACTGCCTCAGTTTGGCTTTCGTGATTCTATATTAAAAATTGTTTGATAATTCTATGTTCGTTCGTTTTGTTATTTTAAATATTTTTTTGTTTTCTTTGTATAAGTGCTTGCAGCTAATGTTTATATTTTATCTCGCAGTAGCCTAACTTGAAGGAAAATGGTGCACAGTCTCAAATGTTATTATAGTTTATAGGTATGGATAGTATCAACATGGAGTAGCCAACTATTTATAGTCATTGAGTACATCTTTTCAGCATAAGATCATGGCGGAATCCAAGTGTTATGGTCAAACGTTGTTTTGCTGCATATTTCTCATAAGATATGCACTGAAACCTTGTTTTTGAATAGGTTGGCAGCCACTTCATCGAGCGTATTCAAAATGTATATATGGAGCAGATTTTAAAAAATCTGTGCAGGTCTTGCATTTGAATTTTTCTATTGACTTGTAGGCCAGACTTTATTTGTTTAATGGCGTTGTCTAATGATTATCGAATCAGATCTTCTTCTCGATAATTTTGTTATGCTTCAGACCCTTTTCTGTGTATTGTGTAGTTTTTGATTATTTGATCAATAAATTTTTATATTTTTTTAAAAATTTCATCAATTCATCCATTCCTCGTTTTTTATGTTTTTTTTAATAAGAAAAATGGCCACTTAAGATATTTCGATATAGAGAATAAAGTTTGCATGCACTACGAGGTACTTACTACAATTTTATATGGGTCGACTGCAAGGGGCAGCGGCACACGAGCATCGACACAACCCACAATGGAGGAAAGTGGCAGGGGACGCAGAACATACGCACCACTCACAAGCAATGACATGTTCTCTGATGAGCACATTCATCTGATGGGCACCCCTAACAGTAATCGGTGCACTTGTCGGTGTAAAGGAACATTCTCTACCTTCGACGCGATGATGAATACTATCACTGAAATGAATCGAATAATCCAACAAAGTGTAACGTAGGCTCCCGAAAGAACGACCTTGCAAAAAGTTTTGACCGACCTAGGATCTTTTTTTTTTCCAACCGACAGAATAATCTCTTCATTAATCAAGAACTGAGTACAATATAATGTTCGATAACTGAGAGCACCATCGCAGATGGGCTCGAACAACATCACAACATCAACATCAACCTAAAACACATTAGAAGTAAAGCAGTTACCCTCAACTGAGCCTTTACCTCTAAATCAAACCACCAACCAAAAACAAACCACAAAACTAACACCAGCAATGTTGTCTAATTTGGAATAGAATGTTTTGAAGGTAGCCCTTAACAAGTCACATGAACCGTTGAGCCGCCACATGTTTTTCGGCCTCAAATTTGAAGAAACCCGATGAGCTCTACTTGAACCGTGGGTGGAGGAAAGCTTCAAAGAGGACTGATGTGTTTGCACTTATCTACTTCACTTTTCTTATTACTTTTCTTTGACTACCATGTTTGGAAAACACTTTGAATTGTTTTTTCTTACCGTTAAACAATATGTGTGACTTGAATGATTTTAATGTTAATGTTGCTATTGAACTGACTTGGTGAATGTCAAGTATTGTAGTTTTCCAATTCACTTTTTCTGTTTAATATTGCTTGAGTCATAAAAATAGTAAAATAAAAAAACTTCAATTCAATTGTAGGATGTTTGGCGTAGATGACAATGCTGCCAATGATGATGTAACAGATGAAACTGTCAAAAATGATGTAGACGATGAAGTTGCTGAAGAAATTAGGAAAGAAATTGACGACGATGTAGAGACGATTCATTCTTCTCATGCAGAAAATTTAGTGGTATAGTTGCGGCACAACACCAACAAATAATGAATGTTTACGCAACAACATGTTAATCAATTCCCAACATTAGGAGAAGCCCATTTTGTCAATCGACATATAACAGAATGGATTAGATTAATGAACTTATGATGATGCACAATTAAAGATTTTTCTATGCAGTGGGCGTTGACAATAGTGTTTACACATTGATCTGGCGAGAAATACAGAAGACAGGTTTCCACGATGATGCAAGACAGAAAAAAGTCGGCATTGAAGGAAGTGATGCAATTTTTTTGTATACAATAAGACATCCAATGAACCGCCGTAAAATAGAGACATTTAGAAGATCAACCGAGACTATTAGTCATCATATACATATCGTGATGAAGGCCCTACATTGCCTTGCTCCTCAATTAATACGCCCCCCAAATTTCACTCGTGTTCCTGCTTAGATGTAGAATAATCGACAGTTATTTCCATACTTTGGTAAACTATTCACTATTACTTATCTTGCATTATGTGAAAGACAAATTTGTGAGTAACAGTAATTGATAAATTTTTGTTATAACTTAGGTTTGCATTGGCACATCGATGGAACTATAATACCACCTTGGGTTTCCCACAACAAGTAGGGGGTTTACAGATGTCGAAAAGGTTACCTATCCCAGAACGTTATGGTAGCGTGCGATTGTGACCACAATTTCAATTTTGTTCTGGCTAGGTGGGAAGGAAGCGAAAATGATGCACGCATTTTTTGCTAAAATATTAATGGACCCCATATATTCTTTCTCGTGGCCACCACCGAGTATGTCGTTCCTTTCCATTATTTGTTCACACTGAATTTTTGTTCTTACAAAAATTTCTTTATACGAAGCTCAATAATTAATGAGATACAAACTAATATACCCAATTTATAGGTAATTATTGTGCGGTCGACTCTGGCTATGGTAAATAAGCGGGTTTCATGACACCTTACCATGGTGAAAGGTACCATCTGTCAGAGCGGGTTGGATCAAATGAAACTCCTAAGAATGCTCGAGAGCTATTTAATAGACGACATGCCACCATCGATATGTAGTTGAACGTATCTTTGGTATACTAAAAGGTAAGTTCCATATTATTAAGGGGCTAATGCCGAACTACACGCTCAAGTGTCAGACATACATAGTTCTTGTATGTTGTGTTCTAAATAATTTCATGAGGTGAGGCCGAGGGATCGGCTTCTCAGGCGTTGTCCATAGGTTGTCTACTATGATATCCTTCAAAAGAAAGGGTCGCACACAATTTTGAGGGTCATAAACTAGACTGGTATTGCAACTTCATTGGCTTTGAGATTCCACAGATCCACAATATGCATAGTGTGCTAGAGAATATAGTGAGTGTTGCATTTGTTTCAATAATGACAGCATAAAAAAGATTACAATGGCCGGGAACCCATATGATTGTGGCGCTGGGTTCGGTGATGCATAGGGTCAATGATTCACATGAAGTGCCCGTCGAGTTGAGGAAACTTAAGACTATGCACGACCATTGTGAGGATCGCTAGAAAGTGTTTGCGGAATGATTGAACTCTATGAGTGAAGAGTAGGTGATCACCATGGAGGGGGATCGACTTATGTCAGATTTGGAGGACATCAGGGCTCGTCATGGATAGAGCTGTCAAAATGGCCGGCGGGGTGGGCCGGCCCGTAGCCTGCCAATTGGCGGGGGTGGGGGGGCTGGCCCATCATCCTGGCGGGTTTCGCGGGACAGGCCCGCCTATTTGTTTTTTTTCTTATTTAAAAAAATGATATAACTATAATTATTTTGTTGTAAGCCTGTAAAGGGAATGATCCATCCATCACAAAGTTTCTTTAGAATTAAGAAAATTTCAAGAAAATCAAACAACATATATCTTGATAAATAACAATTGTCATTGATAAGTGGACAAATAACCATTTATAACTCAAAATTATCTGTTCGAAATTGACAATTTCTAAGAACACGCGAGATTGAGACTAGCACAAAGGACTGACCGAAATTGCCAAGAAAACTTCAGTAAACTTGCTCATGGGCAGGGACGGAAGGCGGAGAATAGGCGGATGGCGGATGTCGAACGGGCGGACGGCGGATGGCGAACGACGGCAAAAACTGGGTGCCCGACGGTGGCGCACGGCAAGGCCGGATGGTGGCGAATGGGTGGAGGGCCGAATTCGATTTTTTGTTTGGAGGCGTGGAGGTTAGGCTTTTTAGGCTTTGAGTAGGAGAGATACTTTTGAAAGACGCTAGATAAAATAGAATGAGAGAATGAGGATTTGGGTTAAAAAAGAGAGATAGAGAAAGATTTTATATTTTTACATTTTTTAAGTCTTTTTTTTTATTATTGACGGGCCAGCCCACAGGCTAGCCCGCCCCGCCCTGCCCACGGCCCGCACGGGCTGGCCCGTTTAGGCCCACTCCCCAGCGGACCTAGAAAATCCCAGTCCAACACGCCCTTTTGGTGGTGCGGCGTGGGTCGGTCCCCGGGATGAAGCCCGTTTAGAAAGTTCTATTAATGGTCATCAACTTGAGGGGATAAAATAGGATATCGATATCATGAAGAAAAACCATGCAGCTATTGTGCAACACTTGAATGTCATGCTGACCAATGCTCATCAAGAGTTGAAGCAGGAGAAGGCCAAGGTAAATAGGGTCACCGCGATAGGATCCAAGCATTTTTAAGAAGGTATGGCGATCGACATTATTCAAGGAAAAGAGATCAGCCTTGTCGAGGCTATAGACGTTGGTATCATTGAAGGGTACAAACATGGGAAAGAAAAAAAGATAGAGATCATCGAGGAGATTGGCAAGGAGATGAAGATCGTCGATATTGTTGAACTTGTGGAGATGGAGCGAGCCACGTGCCACCATTGGGTGATGAAGACTTTAAAGAAGAGCTAAGACCTGGACTTCATCAAATATGTTTATGCTCGGAAGAAAGATTTTCTGGAGTTAACTTCTAATGAGGACAACAAGTCAGATCCAGATGCAGAGGTAGTAATGAACGAAGGTGTCTGTGCTCCAGTTCATGCGGATCCAATCTCACAATTGAATCCTAGCTCAGCCCTGGTGTTGCGGGCTTCACTGAAAGATGTGGCTCCTCCAAGGGAGACGACTTCAACTTCACATGGAGTGGACTAAGTATGGGCATGTTTGTATATAATAAATCTCAAAAAAATTCTAACATTTTAACTCAACCATTTTTTTTTAACTCAACTTTAACTCAACCTCACTATCATCAATATTATCAATATAATTAAATAATATAAATCAATCATTCAAACACACCACATCAACCTTAATTCACTATTCATTCACTCACATTATTTTAATTAACCATCACTTCAAATCATCTCTCTCATAGTTTTACATCAAATCAATTTTAATTATTTTATTTTAAATATTATTTTAATATACCCACTAACAATTAACCATACTACCTTTTCTTGAAACTAACCAAACCAAACAAAAAAATCCAACAAAACCAAAAAATTTCATATCCAAACATGCTCTTATAGTTTTTCGGCTGATTGTGGCCTAGTTGAAGTTTGTTTATTTCTAGTCAGATTATGGCTGAAAAAATGTAATCTCAAAGACTTTTAATAAAATCTAGTATTTTATCTTGGAAGTTGAGTAAATAGATTCAATAGATTATGTTGAAAGAGTACGTTTTTTATAAATATTTCGAACGGTTGACGAGGCCGAGTTTATCCTGTTTACCGTAAAATTTAAGTGTTTGATGGTCCGACTTGAGATTGGTGTATAGGATGCTTAGTCTTTGAGTTTGTACTCAACGTTGTTGTGGCCTGAGTTTAGGGCTAACCGCGAGTGATTTTGATTATATACTCTACGGTGTTGTAGCTAGATATCGAAGCTAACCACGAGTGATTTTGAGTTTATACTCCACAGTGTTGTGGCCAGATATCGGCGCTAAGTGTAATGTTTTTTAGTGTTATGCTCCACGATGTTGTGGTCTGAGGTCGACACTAACTGCGAGTGTTTTGTGTGTTTATACTCCACAATGTTGTGGCCTGAGGTCGGTGCTGACCGTAGGTGTATTATGTGTTTATACTCTATGGTGTTGTGGCCTAAGGTCAGTGCTAACCGCGAGTGTTTTTTTAATGTTAATGAATTTTTACTCTCGGACCTTGCAGAAAGTTTGCATTTTTCAGAGAGAGGTTGGAGTGTTTGGGTTTTGTACTGGTGGTTCTCCCAAGGTTCAGCGTTATACATGGGATATAAGGTGTTGTGTTTGTGCCTGAAAAAAAGGGGGGGTTTTGAAGGTTTTTGAATTTTGTTGAATGAGAAAAGGGAAGAATTTTTTGTTGACCTTGAAGGATTGTCTAAAAAAGGGGTTTTTTGACGATCATCTCTTTAGGTTTCTTGAGGAGGTCATCCTTCATCTTCAAAATGGTCATTTGTAGTTTGGATATTTGAAAACACGATTCGAGTCAGATAGATCGTCGTTGGTGAGATCGTCCAAAACGATCAACCGTGGCACCCGATGAAGCCCACTACGTACTCCACGAACAACTTCGCAATGGATTTCGCCATATTATAAGAATGGGTAAGTGAGATAAAGTACGCGTACTTAGTGAGTCGATCCACCACAACCTTAACATTATTAAACCCATTCGAAAGTGGCATCACTTCGATGAAATCCATGGTAATATCCTCCCAAATACATTCGGGAACAGGTAGAGGTTGCAACAACCAGCTCGGACGTCGCGAATTCTTCTTTACCTATTGGCACTCGTCACATCGTGCCACAAAGTCTCGTATATCAAACAAGACATCAAACTTTGGCATTGCAAAAACGGGCGTAGTCGTCATTGCGCGTTTGAGTCCGTCAAATGCGGCCTCACTCGCCTCGGTCCATTTGAACCCGTCCTTCTTAGTCATATCGGTCAGGGGTTTGGCTATTGAACCGTAGTCCTTGATGAATTTTCGGTAGGACCCTGTCAGCCCCAAAAATCAACGCAATTGTGTCAAACTAGTCGGTTTCGGCCAATCCACCATCGCCTCGATCTTTCAAGGGTCAACCATAAAGCTCTCGTAAGATATAACATGGCCCAAATACTCCACCTTCTCCTGGCCAAAATAGCACTTAGATGGCTTGATATGAAAAGAACTCTTAGCCAAAATCTCCAATACAATCCGCAAGTGCTCCATGTGTTCCGCCCAAATATTCGAGTAGATCAAAATGTCGTCGATGGACACCAAAATGAACTTACGCAAGAACTCTTGGATAATCGAATTCATAGAAAATTGGAAGGTAGACAAGGCTTTACACAATCCAAAGAGCATCACCAAATACTCATAGTGCCCTTGATGTGTTCGAAAGGCCGTTTTCATGGTGTCCGCCTCCGCTACTCAAATTTGGTGATAACCGGCCCTCAAGTACAACTTAGAGAAATACCGAGACCCTCTTAACTCATATAGCATGTCATTTATGCTTGGTATTGGAAAAAGGTCCTTGATAGTCGCTGCGTTCAATGTCTGATAATCCATACAACACCGTCAACTATTCTCCTCTTTCTTCGCGAGTAGCACCGGCGATGAGAACCGACTAGTGTTATGCCAAATCAGCCCGGACTCAAGCATCTTGCCAACTTGCTTATTGATCTCAGCCTTTTGGAAGCGTGCATAATGGTAGGGATGCACATGGACAACCTTGGTCTCATCAATGAGCGGAATGTGATGATCGTACGCATGCTGTGGAGGTAATCCCTTAGGCTCAGACAACACCTCTCCAAATTGATCCATTAGCTCCCGAACCTTACTTTGATGCGACAATGACCCTACAGAATCTTCCATTTTCACCCTCTACCATAACTGCAAACACTTGGCTACCTCCTCTCCACTGCTAAACGTTTTTCAACCCAATTTCCTTGACACCGTCATTGGCGTCCGTCTTCAAAACAACCCGCGATCTCCTGAGTTAAATTTCATTGGCGTCCGTCTTCAAAACAACCCACCTGATTCGATCTTGTAGGCCCTAACTCGTGACTTTACTAACTTCGACCTTCTCCTTCTTTTCCTTTCCTTAGCTTCCGACTCGTCTCCTCTCTCTGGCTCCCTTGGTCAGCAGATCAACGATTATATTTATCAAGCCGACGAGGGTTCTAGTTCTGACTCTGTCGAGGTAACCGGCTATATGATGGTTTCGCTGCCTTCCCATTCTTCTCCTCCTCTCGCCACTGCTTCTTCTGCCGACTGGGAGCAGCACGACCAAGCGCTCTTGGAGGGCGGCTTAGTCGACATTGTGAAGAGCCCTCCTCGAGGAAATCTTCCTCGTCTTGATCTCATTCCCCGAGGTATTCCTCTTAGGTTCTTAGATATCCCTGTTTATAGAACGAGCCCTGTATCTGTACCAATAGTTGCTCCTCTTCTCGATTCTCAAAATACTGTATCTATAGCTTGTCCCTTGGCTAGGTTAGCTGTTCTAAATCCATTTTGTTATGCCTCTGCAGCCGAAGTCGAGGGTTTCAGAAAATTTAGTGGGCTTCCTTCCGACTGGGAATTGGTCGCCCCAAGCCCCCATGACGATTTCGCTCATCCTCCTCCTGGTTGTCATACGTTTTTCATAGACCAAGTCGTCTTTGGCCTTCGCTTCCCTATCCAAGACGAGCTCATCCTGATAAGAAATTTGTACAATGTATCCATAAATCAATTTTCCCCTAATGCCATTCGCATTATGATAGCCTTCATCGTCATTTCCCGAATAATACTCAAATTTTTTTCTCCCGAGTTTTTGTTTTACTGTTACGGTTACCGGCTTTCCAAAGGCGCCTATTGTTTGGGTCGTCGCGCTGGTGTTACCTTTCTTGACGATCTCTCGTTGAACGTCACCGAGTGGAAGTCGAAGTTTGTTTTCATTCGACCCGCTTCGGGCATGTATCCTTATGTAAATACATGGATTACTTCATAGGTGAAGCAGAATAAACGGCCTCGCTCTGACGAGTTTGCCCAGTTGTTGTCTGAGTTAAATAAGCACACTTACAGTATTCGTCAGTTAATCAAGGACCGCAATTTAGTCAATCACGCGCGAATCATCATTTACGAGGATCTCCCTCGTCTCGATGATCCTCGTAAGCTTTTAACATATTCTCTTGCGGGGTTGACTTCACGTTTTAGTTACTCATACTGCACTTGCTAACTGTTTTGTCCGATAGCTAATTTCCTCTTGTTGTATTTCAGTTAAGGCGCTCAAACGTTTCGAGCTGAAGAAACAACCGGTCGAGAAGCCGGTGGGTGGCTCTGCTCCTCCCCCTTTTTGACGCGCTGGTACAGCAGTCGAGTTGACTGCTGCGAAGAAATCCAGGGTCGAGAACCCTGGTGCCGCCCAAAACAAACCGTCGGGCTCTAGCTCCCGCAAGAGGGCTCAAGATGACCGGGCCGTCGTCCTGATCCCAGACGACCTGAAACGTCGCAAGGTCGACAAAAGGAAAGGGAAGGCAGTCGAGAAGCCCGCCAAAGCTCCGATCACCATCCAGGATGTGACGGTCAAAATGTCGTCTCGACTCTGGAACCACCCTGAGCCCTATCAGGTGGCCCAGTACCTCAACTCTACTATCCCCGACGTCGACAAGGAGCGCGTCGAGGGGAATCTCTATGAGCGCTCGAATTACGCCATCTTGTGCCTTTCTCAGGTATTCTTCTTATCTTTAAACCATCTTATCGTCGTGCTTTTCTTTGGCTTCATATATTACTTGGCCAATTTTAATGTTGTTTTTGCTTTTGTTGGCAGTTTCTGGCCGCAGCGCTCCCTTGCTTCGAGGAGACGAGCAAGGCTCCCCTCGCTTCCACCAAGTCCCTCGAGGACAAGTGTGAGGCTCAGCGCCAGGAAATCGAGGCGCTAAAGGAGAATTTGGAGGCCTCGAAGGCCCTTGTCGACAAGC